AAATTTAACATATATAAAAAAATATGCTGTGGATTTTATTATAAAATCAAAAAAAAAAATTTTTTATAAAAAAAAAAAAAAATTTTTTTTACAGGTATTTATAAATTTTAAAAATTTTTTTTTTTGTAATAAATAATGATTGATAAAAAAAATTATTTATATTTAAAAAAAATTTATTTTTTTTTTTTATAATTTATTTTTTAAGGGACGAGGCCGTGAGTCGGAAATTCATGAGAGGGTTGGGGGATTTGGGTCATATTTATAGAGTTTTAAAAAAGACACGTGACTAATTTTGTATTATTTATTAATAATATTAAATAAGAATAGACATAATAAATAACTTGTTATTTGTCAATTCTCCAATTATTAAGACTTAATCCATTTTTTAAGCTCAAAACTCGCGATCAAATACTAAAATAGTAAATTTATTGGTCAAGTAAAACCGAACACAAATTGTTGTATTTTTGTAAAATAAAGAGTACAATAGAAAAAAATTTTTTTTTATTTTAAGATCAATTATTTAATAGAAACTAGTTTTCTTTCAAAAAAAGAAGGAATGGCGTTGTTATTTTATTTACTTATTTATTTATTTATATTTGATAATAATAAATAAAATAATCCCCTTTTTTTTGAATTGTTTTTTGTGCACCCTTTTTGTACATTTATTTTTATTTTATTTGTCAAACAAATTTATTATTACTACATTATTTATATATATTCTGGTATACTACTTTTTTTTTTTAAAAAAAAAAAAGATACACTTACCTTAATGATGATAATTATTTACACAATTCATTCACCTAAAATTTTTCCTAGACAGAGAATAATTATTCCTATTTTTTATTAACCCGGTTAAAAATCTTATTACTTTACTTGCTTACTATTACTATTACAGTTTCTAAATGTATCAAGATGGTAATCATTAATATTAATATTTGCTGATTTGTTGATTGATTGATTGAAAAGAGTCACTTTTTTTAAAAAAACAGGTAACTATTTGTACCCACTCACCCTCTTCTTCTACAATCCTTACACAATTCATATTTATATAAATATCTTCTAAATTCATCTTCATATAATGTATATAATTATTCAAATCTTTTTTTTTTCATTCATCTGCCTCTATTCTCCTCATTCTTTTTACAAATACATATTAATTAGTCCCACACCCCACTACACACATTCATTTTTCTTGGTCACGCAACGTATTGTGTGTCAATGCTAGTAGTAGTAA